AAACAAGATTCATGTTTCTTTTAATAAATAGCAATCTTTCCAGTGAGCTTGAATTTAAACTGGACCTTAATTATTTGATTTATCCGAATTAATTTTTTCGAATTATTTGCTTTATTCAAATTAATATTAATATTAATTTCCTTATTCGAATCAATTTTCTTATTCGAATTAATATTAATTTTTTATTCGAATTAATATTAATTTTTTTATTCGAATAGAAACCCTACTTCATTTTAAAATTTAAATAATACCATATAAATTTCCTTGCCAATTTTATTAAATAATAAATAAAGGATACATACAAAGTCCATATAGTAAAAATAAATAATGATTAATATATTGAAATCAATAGTCACCATTGTAAATAATACAAAATAATTTATTTGAAGTTTTATGCTTACATTTCCATACCGAACTACTTTAGTGCTCCATGTTGCAATTCAACAAAGTTGTTGCAAAGGCAGTTACGACTAGGTCTTGCAATCATTTGTATATGATGTAAAGGTGGTTACAACCATCATCAAAGTTGCAGTCGGTATCCTTAAAATAAATAAATAATAAAGCCTAAATAAAAGTATATTGTTATTAACAAATTAATTTACATGAATAAATATAGTAATGGTGATTCTGAATATACTTAATAGTAGGATTTGCACCAACATGGCGTCAGCTGGCTTTCTGGATATTTGTTTGCAATATCTTCATGCAAACAATACAAACATAATGGTCTAAAAACTAATAAAAATTAAATTCTAGTCATAAATTTCCAATTTTAGTAAAAACGTACTTTGAACAAATCAACAGATTATGAAAGAGCAAGTTTAATAGTATTTCTTTCAATTATTAGAAAATGTAACAAGAAGTATCTTGTGAATTCGTTTGTAAGATATAATGAATTGATCAGCAGACTATTCTGGAATCGAATCCCGATATGGAAATATCCCCGACTGTATTTGTGGCTTTTCCTTCTTCTTCTTGTGTCATATATTTACAATACTCACATTTAGTTCTATTTTCTCTATTCTCAGGCGAGTGATCTCCTTGAGTTAATCTTTCCAATGGAAAGGTTAGTGTAAGCTTGTCTTGTGTGAAAAGATGATGAAAAGGATGATTGGTAACGTGTTTCTCTTTGACTAGTATTCCCATCTAATCCTTCCATACATTTTTAAGCATGTTATCATGGTTTGATATAAAACTTTTGTTGGTATGTTCATCATAAAAACATTTCTAAAATCAGGCTATTTAAATTTTGGATCAGGCCATGATAACAGCTGTTTAAAAATCGTATGATACCAAAATATTATAAATAACGGGATTCGGAAATCCTTTATTATTTCGATTTTCGTGCTACATGAACAATACATAATAAAATTTAAACTGGGTAAATGAGATTCAAAACACTGCTATTCAAAAAAAGGGTATATTTTTTTTGATTTTTTTTTTGGGGGTAATTTTAAATTTTTAGATTAAGTCCGATCTTTAAATGGTTAGATTATAAAATTTTGTTGTGCGCACATTTTTGAATCGTGAAATAAATTTTCCAATTGACGCGACAAAAATATTTTTTTACTAATATTATTACTTGCATGCTAACATTTTTTTTGGAATGGCTAGAAAATTAATGAAAGACTTTGTTATTCCGATCTTTTATATCTTGTACCAAAGATTGGGCATGTAACCCGAGAGTCTATAGAGGTTCCGTATTCCGTACATTTACACCTCTGTAGTAAAAAATGCTCTGTATGAAACAAAAATATGGAATCGAAGATCGTACAGACTGGTCCCCACCAATCAACTTTTTAGAATTCACAAATTCCGTTCCGTACAAAATTAAAAAATAAAAATCGAAGATCGTACAAACTGGCCCCCACCAATCAACTTTTCGGAATTCACAAATTCCGTTCCGTACAAAATTAAAAAATATAAATAAAAAATGTACGGAGCAAAAAAAAATACGGTACGGAATTGAAAGTTATACGGAATCTCTACTGACTGGTAACCCGAGCATACCTTAATGGTTTTTTATCAAATATCAGTTCATACAGGTAATTTCACATTACTTTTTAGCCATTTGATTTAATAAATATATCACATTAAAGAAATATTATTTGATAGGTTATATGTGCGACTATGTTGAAGGATCCATAAAATTCAATAGTCAATTATTACGTATTTGGCCAGATGATGATATGACTAGAGTTGCTTTTGATGATGCTTACAATGAAGCAGTTACTCTTTTTAAACATGTTGATTTAATTGAAATGGCATATAAAATAGAAAATCCAATCAATAGATATGATAGTTATGAAATATTACCTGAAGTTAATCAAGAATTAATTACCTAAACATTTCTCTTGAGGAGGTTGTCAATGAAATGGCAGTTAATTTTGACTTGATAGATGATATTCCTGATGACAATGAATCTAATTATAGAAATACCTCAATGGAGACGAATCATCAGATTCAAGAATTAATGAACATGACAATTATATTATACAACATATTGTTGATAGTAATGGTATTATTTTTTTAAATTTAATAGATAGGCGTAGAAAACATGAGGCATTTGTTTCATCAAATTTGGATAGAAAATCTATAAATAATGGTAATATACAAGATCAGACAACTCAACACAATTTCAAAAACACAATAAGTAGTCAGGCAGCCCATGCAAATTCTACTTGGGGAAACAATAGACAGCTTGCTTCAAGAAACAGCCACTAAAAGGTTTCTTAGTCGGAGAACAAGCACAACACCAAATCTTTCAACACCAACTAATGTAACAAATATTCAAAGGTCAAGTTGGCAGATAAGAAAAAGGTTTGAAAAATTAAATACAATTTTTAATGAACAACTGTTAAGATATTCAATCATCAATTAAATGTAAGTTTTACTACAAATTTAAGTTTTTTGCAAAATAAAATTTTTTTTAACAGTACCAGGAATTAGCACTGCCAAATATTCATCTAGCAATTCCTGAAGGGTTTTGTTTTGTTATAATCAATGGAAGAATTTATTTGGCTGAAATTATTGCCATGTATAAAAAGTTTCAACAATGCATGGCTTTGTAAGTGATCCAGTAGAAAATACAGATATACTTTCTTATATCTCAACACGAATTTGGCTTCATTTATGAACAATTTATTTTGTTCATTTAATGACCAAGGTTATCTACACTGTATTCTGAAAGTTTAGGATTTTTAAGTGAAGAAAACACCATTAAAATTTTACTTCAATGTATTGGTTAAATAAGAATGCTTTTTATTTGGCTATAAATGTCAATAAAATTTGATTAACTGGCATGTAAGAAAATGGGTAAATTGATAACTTTAAATATACTACAGTGTAAAAATATGGTATATTGTACTTTGGTAATTAATTGCTTTAAGTGCAACCTCTCTAAATGCACTCACTATGTAAACCCTCTCTAAATGCATGCCATATCTCATCCCCAAACTTATAGTGAGCTTATAAAATTACCCCCTCTAAATGCACACCCTCTCTAAATGCATGTTCATGAGAAATAGTGATATGCTCCCAAGGAGGGTGCACTTAGAGGAGGTTGACTGTATATTCAATAGCTAAATATTAGATGATGACAATACATATAATAAAATTTGTGTAAAATTGATAATACTATATCATGGGTTACTTATGATAAAAAATATCCATTTTGGACAGAAAAGTTCTATAGACCAACATTAGAAGATAAATATTTTTTTGGCATTTGGATCTTTTATATAGCATTTTTATTATGATTTACTGCTGCAACTTTTACTTCTGAATCATCATTTAGAATCATTGAATCTTAAATTGAATCTAGACAATTCATATACAATTATTATTATGTGATATTACGTCCATAAATTTTAATATGTAAAGTTGTAATATTTGCAAAAAATTATGTAATATTTACACTCAATGTAATAATTCCATAATTTTTTGTATGATTTTTGCATAATATTATGGGACCCACCATAAACTTACATAAATAGTGTAATAATTATGTAAATCCGCATCAGAAAAAATTTCCTGATGTGAATCATCTACCAAACTGATTTCATTGTCAAGTTTAGATTTAAGATACATATTATTCTTAATTCCTTTGGTTGAAACAGTATTAGAGTTGCCAAAAATTCTTTCATTCTATTCATTGTTATTTTAAGCTTTTCACACATATTTTTACATTATTGAACCAAGTCATGATTATACATTAGACAATGATCCTATTTTCAATGAAAATATCATCCATATCTTGGAAATAATAATTCATATATTCAAGATCACTTTATGATACAACCACATGTTTACAAAATTCTCTTCTTAAATGTTGGCAACATATTATTTTCTTACAGGCAATAATATTTTTATTGTATTTTCAATAATAATACAATTAAAATATTTTTAATAGGGCATTTGGATTATGGCCAACACAAGATAGTACTTATCTGTCAATGAGTTTGTTTATTGGTCTGCTTGGTAACACAAATGAAGAAAATATTACACAAAAAATACCATGAGATTGAACTATTATTCTATTTACTTCCCAATCAACGTTGTTGGAGATATTGGTTTCAGATATACTCATTCTTCTTTTTTCCTTTTTTCATATAAATATATATAAATTAATGAAATAGATGACAGTGAAAAGAATTTAAATTTAAAAAAGTCTTTGTTTAAATTTAAGAACTTTTAATTATTGTGCAAAATGAATTTTTATTTATGTGTCATTATTTATTTATTTATTTAATAAAATTATTTCTTTTTTTTTGATAGTGTGAAAATTTTATTTTTTTACGTATCATACTTTCTTCTATCTGAGAAAGATGAAGTTCAAGTGACAACAATGATGGACATCCTTAACAGCTTCCCACCTAGTCGACTAGAGTAAGTATTCACCTTTAGTCCATGCTGTTGCTGTTATTGTGATTACATAATATTGCAACGTGTACAATAATAATTTATATATTAATCATTTCATTATTAAAGATTCTCCATTCGGCAGTTCCTAAATGATTTAATTTTCTATGATTGTTAGGATCAACATTTTCAAAAGCAGTTTGTAGAATTTGTAAAGAATCTCCATGACTAACTAACACGATCACCTTCTTGATCTTCTTTTTGGTTTCATTGGTTTCATTGTTATTATTACCATCATCGTCATCATCGTCATCATCATTAGCACCATTTACTTTTGATTCTTTTTCAATTTCATAGATAACATCACACATACGTCTCCTAACTTCCCAACAAGTCTCTACACCTAATCGTTTATATTCTTCATCGTTGTCATTATTATTACTGATGCTATTGATATTTTCATCAATGCTCCATACTTTATGATAAGATTCATGATCTGGTTTCAACTCGAATATTCCGAAATTTCTTTCACAAAGTTGTTGATGAACAGTGACAATGGGATCAAGTGATAACAAAAATGACGATGAGGTGTTTTCGTTGTTTTCGTTGTTCGATTTAGTTGGAATGCGTGGTTCGAGATTTGTTAGATGATTTGAAATATGATCATGTATAATTTTAGCAGTTTCAATTGTACGAGAAAATGGTGAAGTATAAATCTTTAAATATATCATGGAATTACTGCTACTGCTGCTGTTATTACTATTACTATTATTATTATTTGTCGATGATAAAAAATAATTTAATAAATTTTCTGCTGCCTAAATAAAATAAAAAAAAAATCTAAAATTTATTAATAAATTCATTAATAATCTCACGAAATAGTTATTCAATCAGTTAGCAGCGACGAAGATGATTAATTTACATTTTCAACTTGTTTTTTACCCAAAACTGTAAGACCCCAATCGTTCTCGTCATCGTTAGATTTAGAATCATTCTTTAACGATGCAACCACAATCTTTGAAACATTAGCTTTGGATTGACCATGTCTAAAAAGTATAAAAGTGTTCTTCAATGTTGATAATGTTAATGATGGCGTTGCTGATGGATTTAGAAGATTTGATTCATCTTTTTCATTATTGCTTACTAGCGAAGACATTATCATTATCATTATTATTATTATATCAATCAAATATTTGATTGTGTGGGGTGCACATAAAGGCTGAAAAAAAATCTAATTTTTTTTAATTAAGTTAAATATGGATTCATATAAATAATATAAAGAATTGACATTGTTGTTGTGAAACTTTCTCCGCATTTTTTTGGGGGATTAAAAACAAAAATAAAATAAAAACTGTTTGTTATGACGGGGATGACGATGCATGATAACTTTAATTTTAGATAATAAACTGTCAATGTTCATTGTAAATTTAACTTTTTTTAACTTTTTGACAGGGTAAAAAAGATGGTGTGACATGAATTTTAAGCCCGTGATCTTTCTTTGGGGTAAATAAAAAAAAAAAAACATTAATATTAATATAGAGAAGAGTGAAATCAATCTTTGAGGTCATACATAAATTATGGTTCACAGCGAAGATTTCAACCCAAATATTTTTTTTTTGTTTTTTTTCGGGATAAACCTAGAATTGTTTAAATTAAAATTCTAATTCTGAATTGTCTTTGCATTTGCATTCTTCTTTTAATATTCATTCATCATTAATTGCCTTTAAAAAATCAATTTATTAGATTCGCTAAGAAGAATATTTGATATAGTCATATGAACAATTTGTACGCATTATCACAACATAATGATGAATTTTTTAAGTTATAAATACGAAGGAAGAACCGTTCTTCTTTTATTTCTGTTTCTACGTCAACCAATTAATGTTTACTGACTACTTTATATATATATATAATAATAAAGTTGTTTAGTTTTTAATGTCAATTCAATACAAAATTATTTTTAATTATCACTAATAAATTAATAACAATTAATTATTCGTTATTATTATTGATCAAAAAGTAACGAACGAACACAAATAATTTTATTACGATTTTTCTTTAATTTCTAAAATTTTTATTTCTTATTTTCCCATTTCTTTATTTTCCCATTTTTTTATTTTCCCTAAGATTTCAAACATTCCTCTTAATTATAAGAAACATCATTCGGTCGACCATCCATTCGATCGTCAAATCTAAGAATTTCAAGTATTTACTTTAAATTAGTTTCCCCTATTGCTATTTTATCAATCAATCAATCAATCCCCCCCCTATAATTAAGTCTATAGTTCATATTTACATAACAAAAGACGTCATAAGGCTATCTAAAGTTTATTATCTCAAAGTTTCTATATCATTTGGTTGATTTTAATCTTTCTCCTTTTTACTTTTCTCCTTTTTTACTCTTCTTTTTTTCTCCATTAAGTTTTTCCCTGGTGTGAGAATATTTATTATCTCGTTATCTCGGTAAGTTGCTACATTTTCTTGATTTTTATTTATTATTACTTATTTTACCATCGTTACTGTTTATTACCATTGAATTTATTATTAAATGTAATGATTAGAGATTTTAAGATATTTATTTATTATTTATTATCATTATTCGGGAGAATGTTGAAAATTTCAAAAAAAAAAAAGAATTCATATATATAAAAATAACACCGAAGCATGATCAACAAAATCATTTACAAAAATGTGTATTTTGCTCTCAAAAATAGTAGTTGTAAAGAATAGTTAAATGAATCAAAATTGACACAACATATTTAGGTACTCTTTATAAATACATTAAAAATAGATTTTCATGTGAATTCAAAAATGGTAAAAATAAATGGAAATAATTATAGAAAATTTGGTAATATAGTTTAGCAATAAAAATCAATAGCAATAGGCAATTAGTATTAGTAATAAATAATAGTGAATTAGTCATTATCTCGTGTTTGCGCCTCTTTTAATTTTGCTTCTGCAAGATTCACCAATTAATATTAACAGTGATTAATAACACAGAAAAGAAGGAATAAAGAAAGCAGGAGAAAAATTTTTTAATTTTTAACTTTTTTATATTTCTTCTTTTTAAATCATTTTTTTTTATCTTGCAAGCATAATATTAGACAGTATATTTAAATTAAAATTACTACTTATTTATTAGTTAATTAATCATTATTCTTTTCTCATTATTATTTTTCTCATCTTGCTCATTTTATTTATTTTGTTTGGAACAAATTTCAGTTGTATTATTTAAAACTAAAAAAATTCCTTTTTTCTTTTCAAAAAAATTAATTTTTTGTATTTCTCACACTCGCACTCACACCCTCACTCACACCCTCACCATCATCACAAAACTCACTTGACAATTTTAACAATTGTTTATTTGGAATAATCTAAACCACGTATGTGTTCTATTTCAATTTATTTTTTTCTAATTTTTGCTTCTTTCAATAATAATGTCGATGGGCATTAAATAATAATAATAATGTATGGGTATTAATTAAATAATAACAATGAATGGGTAATAATGATGACGATGATGATGATGATGATGATGATGATAATAATAATAATAATAATAATAATAATAATAATAATAATAATAATAATAATAATAATAATAAT